GCTCGATGAAAGGAGCACAGACAGGTCGAAACCTCCTGAAGAAAAAATCTGATGCCCTAACTCTTCGATTTCGACAGATCCTAAAGAAGATCATAGAGACTAAAATGTTGATGGGTGAAGTGATGAGAGAAGCTGCCTTTTCACTTGCTGAGGCCAAGTTCACAGCAGGGGACTTCAGCACCACAGTTATTCAAAATGTGAATAACGCCCAAGTGAAGATTCGAGCAAAGAAAGATAATGTGGCAGGTGTTACCTTGCCAATATTTGAACATTACCATGAAGGAACGGACAGTTATGAACTGACTGGTTTAGCCAGAGGTGGGGAACAACTGGCTAAATTAAAGAGGAACTACGCCAAAGCAGTGGAGCTACTGGTGGAACTCGCCTTGCTGCAGACTTCCTTTGTTACTTTGGATGAAGCTATTAAGATAACCAACAGGCGTGTAAATGCCATTGAACATGTCATCATTCCCAGGATTGAACGCACCCTTGCTTATATCATTGCAGAGCTGGATGAGAGAGCGCGAGAAGAATTCTATAGGTTAAAGAAAATACATGAGAAGAAAAAGATTCTCAAGGAAAAAACTGAGAGGGAATTGGAGAAACGGAAGGTAGCTGGAGAGGTGATGGAGCCTGCCAATCTTCTGGCTGAAGAGAAGGATGAGGATCTTCTGTTTGAGTAATCTTGCCTGCTCTGGTTCTTGCCTGCTCTGGTTCTTTCAGAAGTCCTGACGTGACATCATTTTAGTTCAGTGTGTAGGTTTGGTTCGTGTGGTTAGTTTTTGGTCTAATTTCACTGGTTGTAAAACTTCCCTGGATGTCCATTTATGGGATTACTCTTGCAGAATCCTAATTTACCAACCATTGATCACAGATGAGATTTAGAGAACCTGCTTAGGAACTTGTAGAATTTATTCTGCAGAAGTGTCACCCTACCCCAATTATAAATGGTTACAAGTGATCAGCTTACCAAGCATATTAGGAAATTCCCCGTAGGAACCACAGTGGTCTCAGGCCAATACAAGGAGGCCAGCTACTGTAGGAGCACCCTCCATTCCTACCCACACACACCCCTGGCGCTGCTGTCTGACATAGCTGCAGCCATCCTGTGTTTCTGTGGTACTTCTCCAGCTCTAGGAAAGCCTTCCCTTAATTTACCTTGCATGACAGGTCTCTGTTTGTTCTCTCTGTCATGGAACAGTTGTGCCAATTTGCATGTGACTGTAGTATAAACAGTAAAATGATTAAAAACAAAAACAAAAACCCACTGTCCTCACTGAGAGGTCAGGGAAAAGCTTTTTGAGGAGATGGAATTGGACTCTAGGTTCAAGAATGAATAGGAGTTTACTAAGATAAGGTTGGGGGAGGGATTTGGAGAAAGATCTGGTTTGAGAATGAAAATCATAAGTTTAATTCAAAGATAGTATTTAAGGGTTTGGATTTGCTGTGTTTTTATATATATATATATATATATATATATATATATATATATATATATATATATATATAAATAGCAAAGTTGAATATGTTGTTGGATACAGAGGGAATGGACCTGAAAAGGGAGGTGGTAGTCATCAGAATAGATACTATAATTGAGACTATGAAAAAGAATGAGAGTGTCTAGAGTGAAATTAAGGAACTTGGGCCAAAGCCTGAGCTTGGAGGAACACCAAAATTCAATGGCTGGTAGAGGAAACTGATTCAGTAAAGAAAGGAGATGGAAAGAGAGAAAAAGGAGTTGGAGGAGAAACGAGAGAGTGGAGTTCCAGAAGAGTATTCAGAGGTGAAGAGTATTTTAGGAGGTGGGCAACCATGCTAAAGGACGCTAGGCAATGCTGCTGAGAGGTCTATAAAGATTGGAAAATATAAATTAATTTTTGGCATGTTGATCATTGCTGACTTCAGTGAGAGCTTTTTAAAAGATCTGTAGAGGTAGAATTCAGCAGATTAGAATGGGTTAAACATTGGAATGGGAGTTTAAGAAATGGCGACAGCATAGAGGAGTCTAGAGAATTTTGCTAAAAAGAATGAAGAGAAAAAGGTTCTTGCCAGAGAGTTAAGAACAATGGGGTTAGTAACTAAGAGAAGAAATTCCACTCATACACCCCTTTCTTTTTTCAGGCCCTGTTTATGTTTTTTAATAGACTTTTTTAAAGAGCAGTTTTAGATTCACAGCAAAAATGAGCAGAAAATACAGATTTCCCATATATTCTCTGCTCCACATGCACGCATAGCTGCATTGCCAACATCTCCCACCTTTGTTAGAGTCGATGAACTACATTCACACATCGTTATCACACAAAGTTCATAATTTACCTTTGGATTCTCTCTTGGTGTTTTACATTCTATGGTTTTGGACAAATATAAATATATGACATGCATTCACCATTATACTATCAAACAGAATAGTTTTAATACCCTAAAAATCCTCTGTACTCTGCCTATTCATCCCTTCCTCCTCTTAAATCCTGGCAACTACTGTTCTTTTCACTGACTCCATAGTTTTACCTTTTCCAGAATATCATATAGTTGGAATCACATAGTCTATAGCCTTTCATATTGGCTTTTTTCATTTAGTAATATGCAATTAAGTTTCCTCTATGACTTCTTATGGCTGATAGCTCATTTATTTATAGTGTTGAATAATCTTCCATTGTCTAGTTCAGGGGTAGGGAAGCTTTTTTCTGCCAGGGGCCATTTGTATATTCAAAACATTATTCGTAGGCCATACAAAATTATCAACTTAAAAATCAGCCTGCTATATTTGGTCGAAAATGTAATTAACTCACCCCTAATCCCTTGGCAGGGCCAGACCAAATGACTGCTGGGAGTTTACAGCCATGGGCCGGATGTTTCCTACCTCTGGTCTAGTTGTACAATAGTGTTTTATCCATTCATCTACTGAAGGGCATCCTGGTTGCTTCCAAGTTTGGGCAGTTATGAATAAAGCTTCTATAGACATCCATTTTTGTGTGGACATAAGTTTTCAACTCCTTTGAGGAAATACCAAGGAGCATGATTGCTGGATTCCATGGTTTTAGTTTTGTTTTGTTTTTTTTTTTGTTTTTTGTTGTTTTTTTTTTAATATATTTTATTGATTTTTTACAGAGAGGAAGGGAGAGAGATAGAGAGCTAGAAACATCGATGAGAGAGAAACATCGATCAGCTGCCTCCTGCACATCTCCCACTGGGGATGTGCCCGCAACCCAGGCACATGCCCTTGACCGGAATTGAACCTGAGACCCTTCGGTCCGCAGGCCGACGCTCTATCCACTGAGCCAAACCGGTTTCGGCAATGGTTTTAGTTTTGTAAGGAAACACTGAACTGCCTTTCAAAGTGGCTGTACCATTTTACATTCCCAACAGCAATGAATGGGAGTTGCTGTTGCTCTGCATCCTTGCCAGCATTTAGTGTTTTCAGTGGTCTAGATTTTTACTATTATCTTGTTTTAATTTTTCTCAATAACCTATGATATGGAACATCTTTTTATATGCTTTCCTTCCGTTTGTATATCTTGTTCAGCAAGATGTCTGTTAAGGTCTTTGGCCCATTTTTTAAATTGGGTTTTTGTGTTCTTATTGTTGAGTCTTAAGAGTTTTTGGTATATTTTTGGATAGCAATCTGTAGGAAAACACACTCCTGTGTTTTTCTCCTTTACTCTCATACTAATACCAATCACACTATTTCTGACACCAGATGTATGGAGGTTTTTTTTCACACCAAGCAAATCTCTGCAACATCAACTGGGTGTCTTACAATTCAATTCAATTCTGACAGAAACTGGAGTTAGCACAGACCCCACAGGTTAAGGGCTCAGTCCCACGAGTCTGCTTCCCATTTCAGATGCCAATTATGAGTAGTAGGTTCCCAGGTTACCCAAACCTGTCTCTGACTTGGATACAAATCAGATGTCCCCATGACTACTCCTTGAATTTGATTTGCCAGAATAGCATATATTTGGCCAAAGATGAAAAAATAATTCATGTTAATCTTTTGAGGTTAAAACAGTCTTTTAACAAATTTTGGTAATTTGACACTTCTCCCCCATTTATACATGTATGAATTAGGCATTATATAAAGTGAGAATAATAAGTAGGAAAAGATTCTGAGTGGACTTGAGCATACAGTTTACTTTCTTGGTTAAGAAATTAGTAATTTTAATAAGTTTATTTACCTGACCCTGTTCTCTAGTACCCATTTAGCAGACTTATGTGTTATGAAATTTAAATAAAATGGTAAAAGAACCTTAAAGAAAAAGACTTAATGGTGTGACTAAATTACATTTTTAGCTAATGTTATCTGGCATCAATATTATAATATGCTAGAGGCCCAGTGCACAAAATTTGTGCACGGGTAGGGTCCCTAGGCTTGTCCAGTGATCAGGGCCCTTTGGGGCCTTCTGGCTGCTGGCCAGGGCCTTCCTTCTGCACTGCCCCCTGGTGGCCAGTGCACATCTTAGCGAGCGATTGAACTCCCAGTCTCCCGGTCGAACTTCCAAGGGAACACTTTGCATATTAGCCTTTTATATATATATAGATATTGAGATCTTGTTCATTTATGATACTATATATTTATGTGCTACAGTTCAAATTAAACAGACTTTGCCCACAAGGGGGACCGAGAAAGTTACCCATTATTAAATCTAACCATTACTTTTGTTCCAGCAAAACCTCACTAATATATATGTTTGGGAATTCTGAGCTTGGTGATTACCCAAGGGGCAATTTGGAATGACACAGTAAATTATAATTCATTAGTTATGGATCATCCACCACAATCTAAACATTTCTTCTATAGGTTAAATATTAATCTTTAACAAAATTACATCTTTCTGAGCCATATTTTCTTGTTGCCAAGTAATTTCTAGGTATTTAGCATGATTTGAGGAAAGAAATTTAATACTTTTTATTACAATGACAATTTTGTAGTATATTATGATGCTTTGGTAACTGATTGGCAGGACCTATGTGTGAAATAATTCCCTAGTCCCTGCAGTTTCAGAACAGCCTAAAATGCAATATTTTTTTATGGCTTAAAACAATATCCCAAAGGCATTAACACATTTTATTTATATTACTTTAAATTTTCAAATTCATATGATAGATATGTTCACATTAACCATTTTATTCTTCATTCCAAATATAGTGCTATGTTGCACTGAATATAACCTCTTTCTCATCTTTTTAACCATTGGCAAATGCATATTTATTCTGCACTTGTTTTTTATTTTCCAAACTTGGTAAAATTGCTCTAGTTACAGTAAAATACACTGATCAGTGAACAGGAAGCCAGTGCAGATGATATATTTGTGAGAGCTTTTCACTGGTCCTGTAGTGACTCTATTGGAGATAATATTTTAGCAGTTTTAGCCTGAGTGGCATTAATTGCCAGTACAGATTCTCAGTACTAGTAAAAAGATATCTAGTTT